GTGATGCGATGACGCGTATTACGAATAAATTTCCTCGGCCTATTCGTTTTTTGGGGGGGAATTAACGTTTTTTTTAACGCGTAGGCGTATCCTTGGAGAATTTAAAATTTTGGAGAAAGCTTCCTCCCCCCCCCCCCTTCTTGTCCCTTCCTCGATTCATAACTCATCCCAATTCTATATAAGAAAAAAATCCGTCTACAGTTCTCTCTCTTATTTTCAGTTTTATCATGATAAATTCCAACGAGTTTAATGATAAACAATAAACGGTCACTTCCTAGTTCTGGGAACGCTTGTTGGAACATTTTTTTTTCTTTTTCTACGTTGTTATAATTCTACATTATTGGAACACGGGTCGAAGAACACCTGAGCAGCGTTGTTGAAAAGGCGAAGAGAAAGGGAAAGTGGCCTTCCATTTCTCAAGCGTCTACCGGCTGTCGTTGACGCCATCGACCTTGCCAGATGCCGATCCTTATTTTCTAGGAGGAAAAACGGATCATCCGAGCACATTGGCTTCGCCACGACGATATTTAACGCTTTCTCCGCGCCCAGAAACGACGTAAGACAAAAATGTGTGATAAGATTTATTTAAGGTTAAGATCTATCGATAAAGAAGGAATCGACACACGATAGGTTAATGAATATCAGGAAAGAGAATAATTTTTCCTAAAAAATTGGATTTCCAATCGAATGACATATCGAACTGGTCCGCCCCTGTTCCTTTGTACCCTGCTAGTTCTCTTAGATAGCAACCTATCGGTATTGCACAACCTCCGGCAAAGTGACCTAGTTGTACTTTGTATCGAAGTAGGTTGGAGAACCTCGAGATTCGGTTAAGTTCCAAATGCTCTTTGTTTGCCTGTGAATGTGGCAATAAACGTCGATCTTGATCGACCTTTAGTATTATATTTCCTCGATGAGATACGAGATGAAAAATAAAATATGTTAGAAAATATGAAAAGAGTGTGAAAAGATTTGGAAGAATTTTAACTGTATGGATATGATTAAAAAAAAAAAAAGAATTAATACGTCTCATTTTTGTTTCAATCAATAGTAAATATAGTAAATAAAAGTTGATTTTCTTTGATTATTCATTGTAAAAAAATATTACATAAACAGGTCTTTCGATCTTTAAGTGATCAAAATTACAATTTAACGAAATGATCTTTATTCTGTTATACATATTACAAATTAAATTTTTTCATTTTCTGTATATTTGTAAAATTAATTTTATCACCGTTAGATTCTTTGTCTCATATTTTTTTATGTAAAAGAGCAAGATTCTCTTTCAATTTCGATTGTACGAGGATCTTTCGCGGGAAAAATCGATAGAATTAAGTAGCGGAATTAAACGAGATTTTTCTTTCAAATAGAAAAAGATTTGTAAACAGGACTGTGATGTGTGTACGAGTAACACAATTATCGAGGTGGAGAACGTAGGAAGAAAGGAATGGCAGTGGAGAAAGAGAGAGAGATCCGAGGAATTCGAGTCCACACCTAGAAGCGACGACTTCCAAGAGAGATATTTACCTTGGCAAAGGAAAGAATCGCAACGACGAGGGGGATACGTGGGCGAGGAAGCCCACCGAGTCTTTCTTTTTCGCCTCTTTGATCGAACCTACCCTGGACTGCATACAAAAGAACGAGGTTCTACGCGCGAGATCCTTGCGAATCGTGCGTTTCGTATGTGTCACGCACGAGAAATGCAGTTAGCCCGCCTACGCTGCTTTTCGTGGAAACAATGCGTGCCTCCAAGGGGTGCACCATCTAAACGAAAATGTCACGTGAAAAACGTTTATCTCCAACATTATTGCTCTTCCTCGGAAGATTATTCAACCCTCTTTGAATAACTTTTTATTCGCGTGACGAAGCGGTTGCAACGATCGTCGTGAGTGGAAATACAAAACTGATGTTATTTTAAACGTTCCTACAAAATTAAAATTATAATCGAAAGATAATCGTATTTTAAGAAGAAAGAATTTTTGAATCTTACGTTTGCACGATATTTTTCTCTTTAGAAATAGTAGAATATCAAACATTCCCATTACAACATAACCTCTACGCCCTACACTACGCATATATATAATTTACGAAATTTTACGATGACTCTAGAAATTATTCTAAAAACGAGGAAGAAAGAGATACTTAAAACAACTATATTCATAAATCTAGCGTTAATAGGTTCACAATTTTGACAACTTTCCCTTATTGGCAAGTCTGGTTGCGTTTCGTGATAAACTTCTATTCGTTCTGAAACATTAGTTGTCGCGTGAGACGCGAGAAACGAGTTGTAACGCGTCAATCTCGTTCTGTCGGTAATATTCGAGCAAAATACGCGTCTGTTACGCGTCTAAATTCACGAATGCATAATACGAATGCCTGTTTTTCGAGCTGTGTGCTACACTCGAATCCGTTTCCGAATTCGAGAATATTATCGAAAGAATTTATTAGAAATCGATTATCAAACTCGATTATGCAATCAATTTCCTAGCTTCATTTCGATGATAATCGTATTTCAACGTCTCGATTGTGATTCGAGAAAGTGTGTTATGTATGTATATTGTTTACTATAGAAAAGTCTCGCGATACGGCATAGGGACAATTAGATTCTTCGCTAGGAACGCCTATCTTCACTTCAGACACTTTATTGACAATTCATTATACACTAAATAATAGTAAAAGAACTATAATTTAAATATTAAATTAAATAATAAAAATTATTTTCATTTATGAAGATGATTATTTAAGACTGAAAACTGAAATATTTTCGAAATTATTAATTATTTTAATATAATATTAATATATCTATAATATGTTTAGCTTATTCATATACATATAATTACTATCTTAACTACTTGAATGTAAAATTACATTTATAAATTAAACTATCGTTATAAATTATAATTAGCTTACATATATTATATTATATAAGAATAAAATATTATATAATATAAAAAAATTTTTATATTATACATTAAAATTTTCTGCTTTCTATACCTTACGCTAATTGCATTGAAGTTTAGATAAAAATCGTCATTTTAATTATTATACGTGACAAATACCATAATAAGAAATAAAAATTAATCAGTCAAATTCCCATTTCTTATTTCCAATAGTGAACAGTATTTAAATAGCATCGTTGAAAGATCTTTTATTAGATGTCATAAATTTTAAAATCGTAGGAGAGAATACATTCTATCTCACGTTAATAAGAAGGATTCGTTTTTTTCTTATTGTTTCTGATTTCTAATTTTTTTTTCTTTTCTTTTCTTTATTCATGACCACTAATGATAGAAGTAAACGTCGATAATGTAGGAGAATAATCTGCTATTAGTATGATTGAAGAAAATTTATTTTACAATTACTAATTACAGTTATCTTGCATCGATACAATACCTGATTTCTCCTCAAAAAATTATTCACAAAAGTTAACCAAACGCAGTTCTGTTCATCGTTCTTGTGATTCCACGAGAGATGAGAACAGGTCGTATCTCTTTTTTTTCTTTTTCTTTTTTCTTCCTCGTTCAATTAGTATGCGGCTGAGAACACGCACGTTTCGTTCAAGTTCGCATAAAAGTACGGTAGCCGGGCGTGGCACCAAGAAAGCCGGGAAAGTGATATCTCTGGTGTGTTCTGTTCCATTCAGGAACGGATTAACCTTGTTCGTTGCCCCTGTCGTTCAAGTGTACTCGTTCAACTTGCTCGTTTCAAAATTTACATTGTTTGCTCAATCAATAATTGAATACAATTTGAGTCGAAAAATTTTGAAAATTCAACCAAGTTTTAGTTTTTAAAAACATTTCGTTAAAATTAGAGAAGTTATTTGTTAATTTTGAAACTTTTTAATGGCATTATTATATTTCTCTTCTATTTTTTTATTCTTTTTTAAATTAGTTTCAAAATTAATAATATATTTTTATTGAAATTAATCTTTCTTGAAATTAAGTAAGTCAAGTATTTGCAATATGATTTAGAACCAATTAAAATGTTTGAAAAAGCCATAACTTTATCTCTTATAACTATCTATATAGATATCAAAATTAGTAGGTTATTGCATTTCTAAGACCCACGCGAGAAATGTTACTACCTACACGATATAAAGAAGATCAAAGATTTTCTTTGTATCCTTAAAAAGATGTTACAACTAAATTGTAAGTAAAACATATTTTAAAAAAATATTTAAAGCACATAACTTATGATAATAAATTAAAAAATAATAAAAAAATAATAAAAAAAATAAAAAAGTATAATAAAAAAAATAAGAATGTATTACGTATGAATTTATGAATCATACCTAATGTCTATATACTTCTTCAGTGCACTATGTTTTAAGGTCAGAGTCGAAGAAAGTGTATTTTAAAATAACGTGTTCTGATTTTCTATGATCTTATTTTAAAATATTTCTTAGAATTTGAAAATAATTTCATTTAAAGAATTTTATAGATAAAAAATTATTTTAAAATTCTTGTTTGATTAAACTATTTTTCAATATAAATTTATTACTATGATATAATAAGTTTCTTTCTATTTTTGTTAAATATGATTTTTGTTCTTGAGTTATTCTGAGAAAAAATATTACCTGTTATTAATGTAAAAAATATTTTTGTAAATGTTTAAAGATATATCGAATTCATTTATTTATTTCTTCTGTATGAAAAATCGTATTGCATTTCTACTTCATTTTCTTGTGTATGTTTTCAAAGAACATGAACATACAGTGCCGCTCTCTTACAGTAAAGTACAGAACAATTTCGTTGTTTTATATTTTCTGTTACCATCTAAAGTTACCATTCACGAGTTTTCTTAGTTGATAAGTAGTATCCTCTTGATATTTCAAATCATTTTTTTGATATTTATATACGTACAGGAATTAATTTTTTGAAAAACTTTTCCTTATTTATTTCATTGATTAATTTTTATCAAACATTTTTACAACTTTTCTTTAATTTTCAAAAAATTGGGTTAAAAATTTCAGGTTTATTGAGAATAACAAAGAATATGAATTTTAAGAAAAATCGATCGCTTTATTTACTTTAAGTGTTTATTTTAATTCGGCGTATTTAACACAAAGCGTAAGTTTGAAGTTAGCTGAAACAGAAACGGAAATGTATTAAATTCAACTCTTTCGAATTCAAAGATACGAACTTCACAAAAAAAAAAGTATACTTACCATTTGGCGATGGAAATTGGTTTACAAGAGTCTGATGGCCTGTCGTACGAATTTCCCAACAAACATTGCAACAATTGCGGCCGTCCATTTCTGCAAACCACCACATTCGTGCAAGCATCGTTCAACTTGTGCACGTCTCCATCTTGGCATGGAACTGTACTGAGATTAGACGGTATATTTTGCACCACGTCCCAAGGATTTTGTAACTGCTCCGTCGATTCTTCCTGCATATCGATTTCTTCCTCTCGTTCATGCTGCTCTTTGTCGATTTCCAATTGCGTATTTAAAGTTCGTTCGTTCCAGGGAACAGGTTGAACTCTGCTCAGCCAAGGATTTCCAGAAAAAGACTGCGATCCATACGTGTACGACGATTGTGAAGCTCCGTAAGATGGTTGTTGAGGATATACAGACCCATACAATGGTTGTGAAGGCGCGTAAGATGGTTGTTGAGGTTGCGAAGGCGCGTATGATGGTTGTTGAGGTTGCGAAGGCGCGTAAGATGGTTGTTGAGGTTGCGAAGGCGTGTAAGATGGTTGTTGAGATTGCGAAGGCGGTAAGAAGGTTGTTGGGTTTGCGAAGGTGCGTAAGACGGTTGTTGAGAAGGTTGTTGAGGTAATTGCTGTCCTGATGAGATCGAGGCGGGCAATTGCGATGGCTGAACTTGCGGCGAGGTCGGTCTAGATGCGAGCGGAGGGCTTACCGCGCCTTTACAGTCGACGTTGTACGGATAGTCGCAGACGCCCAATTGCTGTGAAGCGATAAACGATGGATGAAAAGCACTAGGACGCGAATAGCGCGGAGCGCATAAATTAGATGGCGTTGAAATCGAGGATAGATCTAGGAGAAAGAACACAAGCAAGAGAACGTATTACGAATGCATTTTGGAACGCATATTGGCGTGCAAATCACTGTGTGATTCTTCGTTGATTAACAATCCGTAGATGTACAAATATGTAATTTATCATTGACTGGATCCGCGATCGTTTCAACGATAACATTCGTTGTCGAATTCGAGAAATATGGCCGTATATACGTGTGGAATAATAAAATGTGAGGTTAATGTAAGAATTTAGTTCAAGCAACGACACGGAAGCTCGAGAAACAGCCTTTGACCGATGGCACAAGTTCAAATAGGAAAAAAAAAAAAAACGAAAAAACATTCTCACGCTGTGCGAGTGACGCACGATTGTCACATTTATGCGACTTAAAATTCCGCGAGTATCCTCCTTTTAGAATATAACTCTTAAGGAATAAGATTCTTACGTCATTGTAGACCAGGCCTCGGGGGCAACCGAATTTGATGGGCTTTTTATAAAGGCACACGTAGAATTCTGAACAGTTCGTCGCACTTCTGTAATGACCGTTCGGTTCTGGGCACAGTTTCGATCCATCGGTCAAGGATGGCCCTGGAAGGAAAAAAAGGGAAGGAAGAAAATTATACATTGTCCAAAAAAATATCTGGAATGGGAAAAAATCGATATTCGTTTCTGATTTTTTCTTTTCTTTTTTTTTTTTTTTCGATCTTTAAAGAGAGAGAAAGAGAGGGAAATTAAAATTACTCTTACTCGGCGTAGGCATAGGTCGATTACCGCAGTTCACGTTGTAATCGTAATCGCAATAAAGGTTAACGTCATTGAAGAACAATCCATCGGGGCAAGCTTGCTCGGTCACAGTCTCGTCCCAACAGTTTAAATAATTGGAACAACTGGTTGGGCTTGGGAATTGCCCTCGTATGCTCAAACATCCAGCCGGTGGTGTCATCGCAGGCGTTGGCCTCCCGGTTATCGGTCCTGGTAGCTCGTTCGTGTCCCCGGGATTAATGGTGGGATATATTTGCCTCGTGTTCAACGAGTTTGAATTTCTCGATTCCGTTCTATTCCAACCGTCCAACTTTTGCAAATCGCCGAGATCCCACGCGTTCTCCAAATCTGCGCCGCGAAACACGAAATTATATTATTTTTCCCAAAATTTATATCAAATATTTCGCTCGATAAACTCTTGTTTCACGCTTTTCAACACCGATCATTCGATCACGAGGAGAGAAACGAAAAAAAAAAAAAAATGATAGAAGAAAAGATTACAATCGGATCAATGAACGAGTTCAATGGAGGGGGGAGAAAAAGTCTATTATAAATTTGTTTTAATATAATTCTTCGAAGATCATCACTCCCTTATTACAATTCTTAAAATAAAAATCGATTCCTTGGAAAAACCGAAGTTTCGATCTTGCGCGAAAGAGAGAAATAATAATAATAATAATAATAAGAACAATAATCTAATCACCGACCTTGATGCTGCCTCGACGTTTGAGGGTGCACGAGACGTTTTTCCAGAAAGCTAGCCTCCTCGGTGGTGGTTCTCCTGGCTCTTGCGTCGCACAGGCCGAGCACAAGGGCGAACAATATCCAACGGAGCCTCATGCTAATACGTTTAAAGTTTTGAACAACGATACACACGCGATTATTGATTATTAATTATTATCAACGAGTCCAATCGAATCCAATCCAAATATATATCTGTGTATATACACATACATATATATATATATATGGCGAAGTGGTCGAAGAGTCCTTGCGTGCGAGGATGTCCTGATGCTGGATGGCCTGGACCCGGTCGGTCGGAGGGCTTACATAGGGCATCCCCCACCACCTTCTGTTCCCCGGGGGAGTAGGACCCCAATTACACGGGCGCAAGCAGGACCCTGGCGGTCCAACTGTTGCTCGAGGAAGTGCACCAACTCTTCTCTTGGCCCCCCTTCTCAAATTTCCCCCCACACCGAGGATCGCGAATCTGTCACCTTCGAAGGGGCGCAAGGACGCCGCGACAAGGAAAACCCGGGTTGGCCGGCTCTGATTGGAGGAGAGGTCTTAGAATGACCGGTCAACAACGCGTGTCGCGGCCGATCATTCGTCGTCACGACAAATCCGGGGAAAAGAAAAAGATTTTGCTCTGCCTCGATGGGCAAACGACCGCGTAGGATGTCAAGGTCGAGAGATCTTGCCGTGCCGTGTACTTACTTGGCCAGCCTTTCGATGTGACGCGTGTCGCGTAACGGTATCGGCCGTGGGTTTTTCAATTTTTCAGTTTTTTTTTCTCTTTTTCTTTTTTGGTCGCGATTCTCATGCAATCTGATCGCGAAGAGGGAGGGAGGGATCGTTGGTCGGGTCGGTTTTTAGGTATTAGCAAGGTTGACGAGCTAGTTTGACGAAAAGGAATTTTCTTATTTGAATGAGGAAGAAATTCAGTAAGTTTAATAAATTTGAAGAAGTATCGTATAGTTAGAATAACGTAGGATAATAATCGTTGAGGAAAAATCCTTTAGGCGTGATCTCATCTTGGCGTGATTTCGTTCAAAAATCGCGAAGTCAATTATTCGAAAAATTTCGAAGAATCGTTTCGAAGAATTTTACCGAAAATCCGATCGTTGAACCTTCGAATCTCGACGGTGGAATGTGGGAACGCCATCGAGATATATTCCTTAGAACCTCTCTCATTACCGCTTGAATATCGCGACAAGAGGCGCCCGATTCCTTGAATGATTTCGCGTGGCACCGTTTCCCTCCTCCCTCCAAGGATATTTCGTGAATTTTACGGCTACAGGTTACGTTTCTGGTCCCGGTATCCGGGCCCATCGTCTTTTTTATTGTCCCGCAATAAGGAAGATTTCACGTACGAAGAAGAGGAAAAAGAAGAAGAGGAAGAAAAGGAAACGAGTGGATCCACGTAATCCTGAAATCCAGATATTCGATGCGGTTCCTCGACGAGTTTTTGATCGTGAGTCACTCACCACTTTGCTTTTCCAAACGCGATTCACCATTTATTTATCAATTTTTAACGATTTTGCTAAAAAATTCCTTGTATCGAGTATCGATTCCTCAACGAATTTTTAACCGTGAGTCACTTTGCTTTTCCAAACGACGATTCACCAATTATTTATCAATTTTCAACAGCAACGATTTTGCTAAAAAATTCCTTGTATCGAGTATCGATTCCTCGAATTTTTGACCATGAGTCACTTTGCTTTTCCAAACGCAGAGAATTCACCATTTATTTATTAATTTTCAACAATGATTTTGCTAAAAAAATTCCTTGTATCAATGCGATTCCTCGACAAATTTTTGACCGTGAGTCACTTTGCTTTTCCAAACGATGATTCACCATTTATTTATCAATTTTCAACAACAACGATTTTGCTAAAAAATTCCTTGTATCGAGTATCGAATTCGCGATATACTTTTTTTGCTCGTTCGACGAATTTATCGAGTTTGTACGTTGAGAAGTGCAATCACAAGAGTGTATTTTAAAAAATTTTCGTATTTCATCTTACGTACGTTTCACGAGATGGTCAAAGATTTAGCTTTACAGCGAGGTATAATAAAGAGGAAAGAAATAATAGGAACAAGTTCTCTAAATTTTCTGAAACAGGGATGTACCCGGATATTATCGTGTCCGTCTAGGAAGAACGTGCAAGTTGAGGTTATAAGTATAGTGTGGAAGATCTGCGAGTGGTGGCGTGCAGAGATAAAATGTGAGACACTGTACGTTATTCGTGACGAGAATTCGTTAAACTTGTTTCAGCTTTACAATAACTGTTTACAGTTGTTGCGTAGTTGTACGAACTGTTTACCAAATAGCTTTATTAAGATAATTATTTTTTTTTTTTTTACGTTACGAATATATATTATTGTTCGGTTATTTCAGAAATTTTTTTTTGTTTAAAGAAAAAGAGATTTTTCTCGATCTCGTTCTTCGATAAAATGTGTATTCGTGTTTAATTATTATCCGCCCGAACTGAAATGTTATGATAAAATGAATATTAGACGTGTGTTCACGCGGATGGTATAATCTTGTAAAGGTAAGCTGATTAAATCGTGTCAGTTTCTTATATCAGAATCTTACATCTGTAGTATAATTATAAGCCGACCATACATATATATATACAGAAGACTTATCTTTGAAAAAAAAGAAAAAGAGATCACAGGACACCGTAGGTTTCGTCCGTGAGTCGAATTTTCAATCCCATCTTATTCTTTGGAATCTCTTTTTGATTCTCTCGTCATATTCTCGTGAAAATTTGTTCCGTTTTTTTTTTTATATTTCATGCTAGAAATATAGAAATATATATATATATATTTTTTTAAATATTTTTAATTAATTTTAATGGATGATGAACCTTTAAGAATTAAAAAGTACGATCAATTCTTATTCGTAAAATATATTATTTTGTATCATTCTCGATTTTTGTGTATAATTCGTTTTGCAGCGAAAAAAATTAATCAAAAAAATTCTCGTATTCGAGAAACGTCTGTTACCGAATTCCTTGATCAAAACGGTTAGGATCGTATAAAAAAAATATCGAAATAAGCGGGTGAGTATCGTCCTAAATGATGCTTACGTGGAATTATCGTTTATCCTACGAAATCGATTCCATCCTTTTCATCTTACTTCGTTTGTCTTTCTCGTTTTGCTTCTATTTCGGTCAGCTTTTCGTCCAAACTGAATAAACTGTAAAGAATGGCTATGGACGAGGCTGGATAATCGAAAAGAGCCTGTGGACCCCAAAACGAAAAGAATGGAAAAATAAACTGTGAAAAGCATGAGAAATATGCGCGAGAAGGCTGGCGGACAAAGAACAAGATACGAAGACGAAAATAGCATACAGAAAGAAACGATTGAAATTCGTAGAGATGATTAATATTATTTATTCATTTTATATTTTTGTCATTAACATTTATTATAGTTGTCTGATTATAGAACAAATTTTTAAACTTATATTACAATTCGGTTATTCAATTACTCAAATAAATAATGTAATATAATAGACCAGGCAAAATTTTTTGTTCAATTTGCATGCTCATTTTTTCATGGCGGATCTATAAATATTTTTTCCAAGAATAATATTTATCACTTTCTACTTTTCTATCATTTCATTAAAAAAAATGCCCTTATTATTCCCTTAAACAATTATTTTTTAATTATTATTCTTTCCCTCAAGCCAAAAAACCATAAATAACAATAAAGAAAATACATGGGGAACCGTAATACGAAACAAGCGATAGAATAAGAAAAAGCAAAATCTTTTAACGTAATTAATTTCAGTCGATAATACAGCGAAACTAGATAAGAAATGGCCGGTTTGGAATCGTACTATAAATTTAACACGGCCTACACGATACACCACTTAAGCGCAAATACGAAACCGATATCTCTGGAGAGGATGCGCGCACATACGTTAAATCGGTGGCTATAGGAGTGAGGTCGCGCGTGTCCCCAGGCAGAACTCGTCGTGGAACGTTTCAATTTCCTTGGCAGACGGTGATGGACAGGGAGGCGAGTCACCTCTTGCGATCCCTGGGATCCTATTATCGCGTCTAGGTCTTTCTTTCTCGCGCCTTTATCCTCCTCTGCTTCGCGTCTTTATTCGAAAACCAAGTGAACGAATTGAGATGCATTTCGTTCGAGCTTCCTTTATTTCGCGTTGGGGTTATTTATTTTTCTCACTGTTAAAAAATGTTAACAAAGTGTGGAAGAGATATATGGAGTGGAAAATGATGTTAAACGATCGTGCAGACTTGTTGTTATAGTCGAGACTGTTGCAAATAGATCAGATCAGTTATGACTTATAGGTTATGTCTTTTTAGAATTGGAAAATATTGGCGAAAGAGCTGGAACAGGTATGATTGCACTACTTTCTAGTTGTTCATAATACGAACTACGCGTGTGTCATGTTATAACCGATAAGCTAAACAACTTTGATTTTTTTTTTTCTTGAATTGCTACATTTAATAGACATAATTACTACAAATGCTACATAATTAGAAATTATTCCTCGTGAACAAAACAAAAATAATCAATTTACACCAAGATTTTAGAATGCTTTATTCTGCTTCTCATTTTATCGTTTCCATTTTGAACAAGGTTCGATTATCTCGTAAAAAAAAAAAAATACATCGTACTTCCGTCACAAATGATAACGATCATCAAATGAACAAAAAAAAAAAAAAAAAGACATAAATTCAACATAATATATCGCCTTTGTTCATTCGAGGCACGAGCAACTTACGATTCTCAAAACGATTCTCCTGGGAACGCAATCAGCAATCGAAGCATGCCCCCCTCTTCCAGTAGTTTGGTGTCCATCTGGCGGCAATTACTGAAAATTCCACCAGTCGTCGAGGACATAATTACGTTCGTAAGTTCTTCTGACGTATCTTCTCCCCCAAGATTTATTTCGTATCCCACTAACGCAGTCGAACGATCTTTTTTCAAGGGGCAAAGAAGGAATAACTCGAGGAGGGTGGCCCACCTACTTCACCGACCTGTTGGACGCTCTCCGATGAATTTGAACAAGCATTACGGTATTCGGTCGCGGGTTGTGCATTTTCATCGCTCGTGCATTCTTTTTTTTTTTTTTTTTTTTTCGAAAGAACATTCCGAAAGATCCTGGTCTCCAAAGGAAAGGAACGAAAGGAAGAAGAAGAAGAAGAAAGAGTTGGGTTTCACAATTGGCATCGATATTAATTCTTGAACGAATCTTTCGTATGAATAACGATTGCTCACAATAGAATAGATTTGCATGAAAAAAAAAAAGGAATAAGAAACAAAGAGAGAAAGAATCGTCGATAAAATATAAATATAAGATAAGTTAGTCGAGTTGGTGGGATAAATTTACAGGAGGCCTATTTTCGTCGAGGCCGCAGACTTTTATTTTTCTGCGAAAAATAATCGTCAAAGAACTTTTAAATATCTAACCTAACGGCTGTGTGTGCGTGTGTGTTACTTTGTAATCGTGCAACGGAGAAATACGAGGAGAGGATGAAACTCTTGCCGCCTTCTTCGAAACGTCGTAAACGTTCCTCGTATTTTTTTCCTCGCGCTTGTTCCAACGGGAAATTACTTCTAAAGCGATGCTGCCGATACCATCTTTCCTTTGTTACCAAGCCAAACAATTTTGCTCGATTGACCACGAAAGCGCTTGTGCTTTATGAAGATACGATTAATTATTTAATTATAAATCGTGTCTCCATTCGATCGTTCCTTATCTTCGTTCATCGATCTATTTATTTTTTTAAAAATCATTTTTCTAGCCTTTTTCTTTTTCACATCTAAAAAAGTTACGTGTAGAATCGATGAATAAAATATTGCACGAGTAGAAAATCACCGAGAGACCATCATCATCATCGTCGTCGTCGCTTCCGAGAAAACAAATTCCCTCTGCGTTACATTCCTTCGTAAATACTCGACTCCTTGCGGTTCCACGCAGGATCTTCTTAGAACAGCGTGGACAAGGAAGAAAGATCCTTGCCGCAGATGACTTCATACACCGAGTTGTATTCCTTATACCGATTTCTCCTTCTTCCTCCGCGCGTTTCTTCAGATATTGTCGTCACGCACGTTTGTACCGTTATTGCGCAGCTATTGCGCAACACTTGCATACCTGTAACGATCAAATGAAACTTGTGTTATTGACAAAAAAAAAAAAAAAGTAGCGGGGAAAAAAGAACAAATTCACGTCGATCATTGAATCGTCGACCGAGCCGATAAACAGATTTGTTGTATATTGTTAACTCAAGATTTGAATTTTCAATTTCGAAAAGGATCGATACGCGTTATCGTTTAAGTCGGTTGCCAGGGCAGCATTTTTCGAGGGCTCGATGAAGCGACCTAATGAGAGCGAGTGTGTTTTAACGAGGAGAGAGATGGAGCGACGATAAAACAATTAAAAAGGACCTAAAGGACCGGTGGGATAAGACACACGGGAGAGTCCGGCAAAAGGGAGAAAAATAAAAGATAAGAGGAGAAAATAAGAAAAAGAGAAGAAGTGGCGGACTCGAACTCGTCAAGGACCAGAGGTCCTTGCTCTCCGGGTCACATAGCGAGCCACAGGCTCACAACAGTTTCTGTACCTCGGGCTAAACCAGAGGCTCTCAAATTTATCCTATTTTTATTGATCGTTTCACATAGTCCGAATCGAGGCTTATAAATGAAAAGTAATGAAACAATTGTCGAAGAGATTATAATAACGGTGTGTTAAAAATTCGAAACAAAATTGATCGTCATCTCAAGAATAATATAAGAGGCGCAAAGGGAATACGACGTACTCGCTCGTCCAATTAATTAAAATCGTCTTCCTAATGCGACAATCTTAAATCCTTCGCCTGTTCTCAGCCCGACGGGATGAGATAAACCAGGCATCCTTCCATTAATCTATCAACACGGGCACGATCTTCTATAATGAAGTAGCCGATAAGTAATCATCGTTTTAATAATTTTCTCGACGCTTTTCAATTATCCCATACATACATTTGCATAATCGTACATACAACATCGATAATTTTGATAAAGGATATAAAAGTATATTTAAAACAATATTTTCAATAGATCTCAAACTGTCATCTCACAAATTTTATACATGTAAAATTGTATACAATGAAATGTTACATATCTTCTCTAAATATTTTCACGAGGCGTAATTCGCAAATAAAAAATTTGCAACAATCTCGAACTTTGTCATTTTATCGTCATTTTAACAAAGAGTCATAATTCATAATTTCAACACTTCGTATGCGAGTACAATATAAAACCGCGATAAGGTGTGAATCAATTGATAGCACGATTAATTAACGAGCATAACGAGTAATTGTTATTAGACTCGAGATCGAGGGTGGAAAAGGGGGTAAACAAACGCGAGAGACTTTCGAAACACGGCGGCCATTGTTTTTATTCACAGGTGTCTCGTTTCCTCTTGTGACCATTCCCACCGAGGATCGCGATAATCTTTCATCTAGTAACAAGCTGTCCTCAGTTCCTCCTGTTTTCTTACATAAAGGGAGGTAACAAAGCGAGTAACAATCCTCGTTGAATATCGTGCTTGAGCTTCGAGTGTTCCTTCTTCCGGGAAGTACAATATTCGGCTCCTTGCGAAATCTTCTCTTTTTTTGTTCTCTATGCAAATTGAGAAACTGAAACTATGTTCGGCTCTATGAGAAAGTGGCAGATAGCCTTGGTGATATCGCGTAACTTTCGCGTCTGACAAACAAATATCTTTCTCATTGACACTTTTAAATTGCATCTTTTCCTTTTTTAAACAATTCAATATGTTTGGTACGAATTCTTGTAGGAGAGAAAAAAAAAGGGGGGGGAATAATTAATATCAATGATCGAAAATTAATATTACAAATTGAAAAATTCTCCTCGAGTTTGGTGTACATTTTTACAGCCGAGAGAGAAATTTTTCAAAATTTTTACAGGGTTGGTACAGAGAATGGAGTGAAAGGAGTGAGAGAGGTGGAGAATGGAAAGGAAGGAGAAACTACTTTGTTATTCGTTCGCGTGGAATTAATAATTAAGTTAAACGTTATGTTTAATACGATTCACTTAGTTGCACAAGCCTGTGCAAATAGAGAACAAGTCTGAGAAACGAATAATGGAATAATTTAAAATACGAGTGCTGTGCGAGTTGTTAAATACACCGGGGAAAGTATATTTTTTATTATTATTTGTTAATGAACAAGAGCGATTAGTAAGTAAAATTGTTATACTGCTCCATATTTAATGATCATTCTGTTTAAATAGAATGACGTGAAATTAGAAATTTATTAATTAACATTATATTTACCATTAGCTGTTCCACTTCATAAAATCGTTTAGAAAACAAAATTCTAAAGAGAAAAAAAAATATTGATATCAATACAATTTTAATATTCCAAATTAAATAACTATTAATTTACACGGATAATTCATATGGAAATTTAAATTGTCTTACCTATGAATCATACCTCGTAGATATTACGAGACCGTTTATTCACTTCCGTCTGAACACAAAAACGCGACGACAATGTGAAAAGAAGATGCACGATGAATGCCAGCGATTTTCATCCAATGATCAAGAGTGTGTTTCACCACGATTTTCACCGAGTTATGAAGCGACTCGATACGGTGAAAGAAACCGTGAAGGTCTTTTCTCGAGACTGCAAATAAATAGGCCGGTTCTATTAAAATCTACAACTAAAATAAAATTTGTCAAGAGATGTACAATTTTTTTTTTTATTCGAATCAATTTCACCATAATTTCTGATTTAACAAGAATTAACTATGATTAACAAGATTGTACTCGAAATAATTTTATATCGAGCAAATATTAATCATTCGAAATAATAAAAAATTGTTTATTATCATAATAATTCCATTTAATCCTGCATAACGTCCAATTTTGAAGATTGAATGCTCTGGAAGATACAATTTCGTTCCTATAATATTTGTAATTGAATTAATTGGATTAATCATTTTATTAACTATATATATTCAATATTCAATTAATATTTGTTTATAATAGAAGAAATTCTACGATGCAGGATATTTTGTTAATCGTAATTTTATAAAATCGATTTTCCGCAAGATAATGTGATACGAGAAAAAAAAAATAGCTTTGAGAGATGGCATAGAAAGCAGGAAGGATATCTGCATATTTGGTCGCATAAAAGGAAAAAAGAAAACGGAAGTGAAACATGATCGGATATGACGATAGAGGCAATTTGTCCCAGCGAAGTATCCGAGCATGAAACGTCAAATTCAATTACTTTGCTAAATCACGTACAATGAAATTGAAACCACGGAACTGCGTGTTCGATATCGATCAAATCTAATCGCGTTAACCTCGAAAAATTGTATAAAATGAACTTAATATTTAAAATCTTTTCAGGTAATTTTACAATTAATTTTACAAAAATTATACAATCGTTTAACGTATTTAACGTAATTCAAGTGTTATTCAACATTCCGTTATTGATTCATTTTCAACGATACGACACACACGAACATTTCAATAATTCTTAGAAAATAGAAAAATCACTTTCATAATTTCCCCATTCAATTCCATAAATATCCCGCGTATTATGAATTACCTCCTTTTACCTGCTGTGTATCCGTTCCATGTGTTCGAAATGCCGGTCGAACAAAAAGCAGGACGAAGGACAACGTTCTGAACGAGAGAGTCACCACCTATGTTTTGTTTTTCCAAGTATTTCCAAAGTATCATCGACGAGAGGAGGATACTTATCGAGACTAGTAAGTACGACGTAGTCCTCGATAGAAGAAACCAGGTGTGTTCTCGAGGGAGGCCTTCCTATGCGCCAGAGATCGGACCTGCCGGAAGAGTGGGGAGCTCATATAAGACACGAAGCCAAACGCCTCTCCCAGTGACCAGTCTCGACACGAAAACTCATCAGCCGAGCTTCTTCGGTATCCGCTAAATAAGAATCCGCTTCACGCTTCCAGCCCCACCTTTGGATGATTCCAGGCCACCGGATCGAAATTCGAGCAATTTCCAGTTAATCGAATTGGTCTTGTCCAAGGCCGAGCAAGAGACAAATCGCAAAAATGGTGTCGTCCCAGGCTCTCTCGTTATTCTTGCTGTTCCTGGTTGCGCACGGTGAGTCCCATTACCGCACTTTTCGCTCTTTTTGCTCTTTTTTCTCTCTTCCCTTTCTCCATCTTCCTTCGTCTCTTCCTTTTCCTTTTTCCTCTACCTCGTGTTTTTCTTGCCTTCTTCCTCCTACAAGGATGAATCGTTCCATCCTGAACGTTAACCACGATGCTTGTTTATCGTGTCGTTAAAGCGAGTATGCGCGGTCGGTAGCAATCGCTCGTATAAATTAAACAACTTTACCGTCCGAGTGGAGGACGATAACACAGCGCGTCCGCGTGAAGAATGTTTGTACATAATAAACGATTTAAGTGCCGTTTATTTTGTCTCACGTATTTCTTTTGCCACATTATCACGTGTTAATACAAATAAGAATCGATCAAATTTTTCATTAAATTTAATTGAGCGATACAGGGAACCGCGAGTGTAAGTGAAAACGAACTTTCTGTGATCAGACCATCGCGTTTCTCGCAGCAGCTGGATCTAAAAAATGCGCGTCGGCCTACTTTCGCAATGACGATCCTCTCGATTTTTTTTTGCGTTTAATCCACCAATACTTCTCCATCGAACAACGTGTCCTTTGCACGATTAATCATGTTTCATTATTCACTTTACATCGAATATTTAAATAATTAAATAGTTAAATATTTGATTGAAAATTTATTTAAAAATAATGAATAAAAATGAATTGGATCGAGTTATTGAATAACTTTCTGCTTACCGTTTATCGAATCGATCAAATTTTCGAATTGTTTAGTAGTAGAGTACTACTCGATACTACTCGAAATAGATTGAATAATTCTAATTCTATTAATATTCTTTTAATATTGATATTTTATAATTAAGCAAAAATTCATTTTACTTATTTTTAATCATTATTTTATTTTTTACTTTTTGAAACGAGATTGCGAGATAATGTTGATTGAATCGTTAATGGATTGCAACTAATTATACTGTTGCTTCAGATTATTGGTTCTCTACATAACCTATTTTTTTATTCATTACACAATTTCCGTTATTGTTTATAATAGTAGAAAATTCGATTCAAACAATCGTCTCTTTTCTACTAATTCTTACACGCGTCTTTGTAAGACAATGACGGGCATTCACGGGGTTTCACACATCTCGAGAACTTTCTCCCGGTGTCTCGGGAGTGAAAATATGAAAGTAGCTCAGCAGACAGATCACTCTCTCTCTCTCTCTCT